ATATTGCTAAAATCAATAATCAGTAAAAAAAGAAATTCAGATTATCTTTTTACTCTATAATATTAATACTTTTTCAAGGGAAGCCTATATTTATTACTTACTTACTTAGATTATCCGAAAGGTCACAGTGACTGCTTAAATGGTTAGAAGCGAAAGTCATGATAGTCACTTAAGTTACTATCCGAAATGATGAATTCAGGAAAAAATATTTTTTGCATAGACAAAAAACTTGTAATATTCCGGATTAAAATAAAAGATTTTGATGGTTTTTCTCTGTCGTATATTATTCGTTCATTTCAATAATAAAATAAATGAGTGTGAACGATATTAAGAATAATTAAATTTTATAAATTTCACAATTATTCCATTTGTTTTCATTAGGAATTAATTTGATTAATTTTTGTATAATTAATTTTTTACTGAATTATATTTATTAATATTTAAGTTAGCTTAGCCATTTTTGTTTTTCTTTCATATAAACTTATTTCTTCTTATATATCTGAATTTTCTTCTTTTCGTAATAAAATTTCACAATAATAAAATAGCAAATGGGATCGGATCGATTGATTCAGCGAGGAGAAAATAAACGAGAAATTATTATCTTTAAAATAATATATACGAATAGACTATTGAAGATTGAAAGAGTTTTAATTAATACTTTGTTACATTTCAAATACATTCACTCATTTACAAATAGTAAATCAAACAATTTTGTTCTAATTGAAAGAATGGAGAAATGAAATTTTCAAAAGTTAAATTAGAAAAATTAAGTATAATTACATCTGGAATGATACGATAAGATTGATAAACAAATTGGCAAACAGGCTAATCATATCAATTGTCCGGCAATCCTTCTATTCATTGTGATCATTTGAGATAAATAACCAACAGGTGACTAATTGCAACTGGTGAAATTTTATCTAACTGATATTAATAGCTATAAGAAGAAATTAATATCTGAAAAATGTTCTTCAAAGATAGAATATTTATCAGTTTTGTATGTCTTTCTTGTGGACGAGAAGTGAAATATGAGAGAGAGAGAGAGAGAGAGAGAGAGAGAGAGAGGAGAAAAAATTAGTAAATATTTGATTATGGGAAATTTAAACGAACAAAACGAAACATAATATACTTTGCTGATAGTTTTACGAATAATATTTTTTCAAATGAATAAAATTAGATTGAAATTTGATAATGAACGGCTATTAAAACGTTTAATTAAAATATTAAAGGGAAAGATTAAACTAAACTGAACTCAGTGATATATTATCAATAAATAACACTAAGAATTAATCGAATTTAAAATCATATTAATGAGCAAATAAAAAAATTAAACTTTATAATACAATACGATAAGAAGTATATTATATATGTAAATATGAGGGATTTAGTGCTACTTATTACAGTATGTTTGTTTGTTTATTTCCTTTTTCTAATAATATTATACAACAAATAAATGAATGAGTAAAATTAATTAATGAAGTAATTAATTAATAGACTTTTGCAGAATTTTGTTAACTAGTTATTAATTATATAAATTTGCATCCAATCATTTTAATTGTTTATATCTGATTCAAACAAAGAAGGATTATTTTTGGATCACATATAACGTATGGCTAATCGTATCCCCTACTTCACATGCACATACACACATATACACCATATATGTGATAGATATAAGGATATCGAAATACTATTGGTCTAACTATTCGTTTTAAAGAAATGTATTCTAATTTGAAAAGCTGAGCTGATAAAGTGAATAGATAAAGCAAAGAGCCAAAAATGATACCTTCGTGACAAGCCGAAAAAGGAGAATTTCAACTTTATGATTCACCAACCAACCATATCACAACTGTGAAAATTTACTGTAATTGTTATATTATTAATAATAACTGAAATAATTTTAAACATAATTATTCAGTTATTGTATTTGTAAATTAAAATGTCATCTTTTAAAGTTTCCAAAATAAGTTTCATTTAGATTTCACCAGCAAATAAAATCACACAATTATTTCATTCAGGGAATCTTATGACAGTAAAATTAAAATATTATAATATTAAAAATCGTACTTTTTCATGCAGTTAAATGAAGAACTATGATTTTGATATCCCGAAAGCAATAAAACTATCAATAAATAATGTGTTAAAAAGCCAAATGATATAATAATATTGATTATCAGGAAAAGTAACTGAATGAAATAAATATCGAAAGATTGAAATTATAAGCAAATTCATATTTCGCCTCTTTTGTTGAGATTACATTGGCAATGTGATTAATCATTGCTTGGAACATTGATAGTTTCTGTTCATTACAAATTGATTAATCGTTAAAAATATTTGTGATAGTAAGATGATTATGTGATAAATTTAAATCTTTGAATTTTGATTTTTCGTCTTAAAATCTTGTTTTTTGGATTTAAAAAATTTGATATATAAAATGAATGCCATAATTATAAGCAAATGCATTAATTATTAAAGAGATTATGACGGCTGTCTTTGGGTAACTAACTAAACTTATAAAATGGATATACTTTTGCGTGAGAGCTATAAGTAACAAACGTTTCTAAACGATATAAACAAGCTTGAGATGATTTTTTGAAAACATACAATTATATATTGATAATATTGAAATGCATTGCATCAGAAATTTATTCATTTCAATAATTTAACTTCAATTATTTGATAGAAATAATAATAATACTTTTTCCCAAAAATTGCCCTTAATCATAAAACCATTAATTATCACATTGTTATAATTATATTTAATTGTTTTATTGTTTTTCATTAAGTTGATTTAGTATTAGCTAAGAGAATTGGAAAGAGAAAAACTATTACTTTATTTTTGCGTCATAAATTATAACAGTAATAACGAAGTACTGCATTACGTGATTATTGATACGTGACACAACGTATTTGAAACACGTAACAAACAATACGTTCCGTTATTATTCTTTGTCTAATTAATAAACATCTATTATTAGGTGTTGTTTGATTTCATTAAAATTCTTCTTAAAATTTCAATAGCAGTATAAAGGAATGAATGCATAAATGTTTCTAAAATGACTTTATTAATTAAAATACAATAACTGGAAAGAAAGGAAAGAAAGATTAAATATTAATAGAAAGTAGTAAATTATGTTATATAATAAAATTTGGCGTATAAAATATAATTTATTTTTCAAATGCTATTAAATTTTAATTATGTTATGTGTGATAATTCTTCCGTTGTGATTATTTTGATAAGAACTTTTTTCCTCTTTTTCTATTTTCAATTAATAATACAAAATAAACTATTTCAATCAAAAAATTAAAATTTAAATTCAATCTATTCTTTCGCTTACACAAACCATTTTAAATGGTAACTTTTATTGACAGCACTAATTTCCTGTCCTTTTAATTTTGAAAAGTATTATTTGTAAATTTAAATTTTAGCAATTCATTAGTATCAGAGAAAACTTTAAACAAAGGGAATGGGTTTGTTTATTTAACTCATTTTCTTTCCAAAATAAAATTTAATATTGAAATTCCAATTTTAATTTTTCAATTTCAATTTCGATTCACAACAAATAGCTGTAAGAAGAAAAGCAAATAATATTTTAAAAATAGCAGAAAAAGTAAGAGACGAAGAAGCAGAGAAAAATTATGGAATAAATTTTATATGACGATATTATTTATATGATTGTTTATATGATGATATTATTACTTTCTATTGTCTAACAAATTTTTTATTGAAACCTTTGAAAAATTACCTCTTTTTGAGCAAATAATAAAATAACTATGTAGCAGTCAGTCATTTCAGCTGAATAAAATCATCATAATTTTATTAGAACTTTGAAATTTTAAATTTTTGAAATTCTTTTGTCAAAGCTCTCTCCAAATTTAAAAATTCTGTCTCCTAAATTATTCCCTCAAAAAAACTTTAAATCCGAAAATCATAAAATGGTAAGGAAAAAGGAGGAAAACTTTTATTGATCGACCTAATAATTCGTTCTTTTCTTCATTTGTCATGACAACATGCTCTGGTACCAGCTCATGTTCCGTTATATTGATCATAAGTTCAGCTTCCAGAAACTGTTCATATCATCGATACGCAAAATAACAATAACAGTTTAAAACTCACTGATAAATGAGAAAAGACTGCGAATATAAGAACTGATAGTAGCATTAATGAAGTTGAAATGAATTTAGTAATAACTTTTGATAGTAAAAAAGTTTGTTAAAAATCATTTAAATTTCACATATTAAACACTTCACTAAAGGAAGGTATAAAAAATGAAGTTTCTTTCCTAAAACCAATAAAATTACCAATTTTTTCTTTCAATCAGATCTACGATATTCTTTAATGACAACCTCTGATAGCCTCTATGGATTGTCTATGTTTATATTTATGTTTATGTGTAAATAAACTGGCATTTTGAAATAAGAAAAGTTTTTTCATTCTCTTAAACTTTATTATAAAACTAAGCAATAAACAAACAAACAGAATGAAATTACAAATATAAAATTCATATTCTACAACAAATCTGAGCTTAAATTTCATTTTTTTTGCAGAAATTTTACTACTTTTGAAATGCTGCATAATTAATAAATATAACATTGTTGCTTAATTATTACATATAATTAAACACCTTACCTTAATAGTTTGATATTATGCTGATACTGTAGAACTTATGAAAAGATTTATTAAAATTTCATTCAAATATGCAACTTTTATCAAAGTTGAACAAATAGCTTATTGAACGGAAATATATTTATTTATTGGACTTTTATTGAAGAAATGAATTTTTTTGTAGAAAATCAGAAATAGAAATTATTCATTACGAAGACTGCCAAAATGTTGAATTTTTCTATCATAAAATTTAATAAATAAACCGTTGAAATGCTATTTTTCTTTTTTCTTATTTCAAAAAAGTTTTATTGCCAAAACTTCATTTAACAATACTATTTTGCATATTTATATAATGAAGCGATCAGGTCGAAATACGATTTCAACGCACATTTCCTTATATTTTTTTCATTTGGACAATACCGCTTGTATCAATGATCACTATGCTATCAGATGTTAAATTTAATTCGCTAATTGAACGATTCACCGATTTTGCATCTACCACTAATTCTTCCGGTTTCTGATCATCACTTTTCTCCATACTTTTATCATCCTCACGCCGAATATAATATCCATAAACCTAATCAATGATTAATGATTGAAATAATTTCTTTTCATTTGTTGTATTTGTAATTTTTACGAAATAAATAAATTTTAGTAATTCAAAATATTTGTTAGAGAAGTAAGTAAAAAGGAAAAAAAACAATAGTATTTAATTAGAAAAAATATTAGGAATAAAAAGGAAAAACAATAGAAATTAGAAAAAGATAAGATTAAATTTATTTAAAAAGATATTTTAACTTATGATATTATATATGTATCAGTCATAAATCAAAATGATAACATTTTCTCTTAAGAAATATTGAAATATTTACTTGTGTAAACTTCAAAAATTTTTGTTTTCAAGTAGAAAAATAATACTGAAATGCGAATTTAAATTTGCAAATTATCGGTAATTAGAATACTTCAAAGAATTGTTTTCTTTAATTAACCCATCGAGAATTTGTTAAGTTAGAATTTAATGTGTCAACAGTGCACAATGACAATAGCAATTGTAATTCTCTTGTTTTTTGATAACTTCTACACAAGTTAGGAGGGAATTTTAGAAGTATTAAAATGTGATAAAATTTCGAAACTTTACTTTGTCAAGCGGTAAAAGTTTCAACGCTCGACGCATTTCACGTATGAAATCCGCAACATTACCCTTTTGATCAAAAATAACCGTTGTTTGATTACTTTCATCTGGACCTTGTAGTTCACATTTCACTTCCATTCGTCGAGAACTAACCGTAAAATCTGGCGATATTTCGGATTTCTAAAATAAATCAATGAATGAATGCATGAAAATATATAAAATGTTTGTTGTGATATTTCTTGAATTTGTTGTGATGAAAACTTTTCTAAAATAAAAATATTTTTAAATTTCAAAAGAAAAGAAAATGGCAATGAAATAAAATTAGTAAAAGTTATACGGTAACCGAAATTGAATCATCTTTAATAAGAAAATAGCTTTGATTTTCAAGCGCAAAATGTTCAAAGTATTTGGCTCGTTGAGGGAAAAATGCCTTAAGCGCAATGATCGAATCAATCGCATACGATTGATGACATAAAATATTGGGACATATCGGCGGTGAACCTTGAAAATTTTATTTCTATCAATAATTTTTCATTATCATCCTTATTCATACAATTTTAAATCGGTTAATTCAAAAATTAACTAATTAATTAATCAAATATGTGTTACCATTAGTTTCACATTCAGCAAGCATTTTATCTAAGCAATCGATGCAAATGGCATGTTCACATTCATTATTCGATGGGAAACCATTCAAAGCTTGACCTTCACAACCATCCAGTCCCATACATTGGGCTATCTTTAGAGAAACAATTGGAAATAAATTAAATTTTAAGATTAGATGAGGAAAAATGATTGGAATGTTAGAATGGGAAATTTAAATTATCAAATTCAACAATCGAATGATGAAATTTTATTTTAGAAAAAACTTTGATCATAGATTAAATATTTATATTCGAAATATGATCAACATTTAAAACATTATAAAAACAGTGGAATTGCTAATGATAAGCGTATCAGCTGAAAACAATCATTGAAATTACGGTCCATCGATCGAAACTATGATCAGTTTAATTTTGAATCGATTATTAATGAGGAATATTGTCATAAACATTCACTGATTTTAATCATTTCTATTATTAAACTTATTCGAATTAAACAACAATTTGTTAAAATATCAATGAAATATTTATTCAAACGATTGTTATATACAAATAATTTTATCATTAAATAAACTTATGTTTTAAAATTATTCGCAGCCACTTAAAAAAAAAAAACAATAAACAAATTAATTAAATTCAATAATTTGGATAGAAATATTTACTAATGAATAATCAATAATTTATGCCATTTATTCCTTTGTAAATAATTTCTTATTCATATCCAAGTAATTATCTTTTTTTGTGCCTTATTTATTTAAACTTTAAAATTTACATTTCTATCGAAGAGAAAGAAAAGAATAAAACAAAAAATGGAAAATTTCAAAATTATCTTCGAAGAGCTTCCAACCATAACAATAATAACATTACCTTTGTAATTAGAAGCTTTTCTTACTCATTCTTTCGTTTTATATTCAAAACTTTTCCACTTTATATTTAATTTAATTTTAAATCTTTGCTTTCCTTTCTTTTAAAATACGCTTTGTTTGTATTAGTTCATTTTAAACAAATCAAACAAACATACTAATTAACGATATTAATTAGCTATCCTAGTTTAAAACCCATACTGTTTCGATTTTAGGCATAATTAACTAATTAACATTTGTGATAGAAAGAAATAACAAAAGTTTTATCTTAATGCTTATTTAAATATGTAATGATGAGCGATGTACTATTGATTTTATTGGTTGGTTGAACAATTTTTGCTACTTTGAAAATTAATACCATTAAGAAATTGATAAAATTTCTTCGCACAGTAATATAACATCTAATTAAATTAATAAATATATAATAAAAGACGAACTTGAAGAACAGAAGGTTTGTTTTTGCTATTTCGAAGACCTTTCTGAAGACATTTGCCTTCCGGGCATGTCACATTTGCATAATTTTCTTCTGCTAAACAAAATTTGCATAAAATTTTATAGAAATAAATGTTGGATGAATTTATTAATCATAAAAGGTCACTCTCTTATAAAAGTTATTAGAAATTGTTGCAAATAATGGGAAAAGTTAATTAGGATAAGGTAAATTTAGAGCGAATAATTAAATAAATCATATATAATAAAGTATTAATTTATGCAATTTGTTGATTTGAAAAAAAATTTAAGATAAGGAAGAGAACTGAACGGATTACTGTCTTATACACCGTAATCTCAATATTATTATCAACTTAGGAAAAAAAGGAACCATTTGAGCTGAGATATAATTTTTTAGTTGCACATTGAAGACAGTATCGTGCATTGCAACATTTTGTGATAATATATTTGACATCCAACAACGATTTTTTACAACTATCACATCCTTCACTAATATCGTTGTCACCTAATGGTTCATCACAACCTATTACTGGGCATACTGTAAGAAATGATATACTGTAAGAAAATCGTATCATTAAAATATTAATATATAAAAGATTTTTTCTTATTTTTTTGAATGAATTTTTTACGTAAAAAAATTTTATTTCCAATATCAAAATTTATTGTTAAAAAAGAATAATATGAAATTTCAAATAAATTCCACCAAACTTTATTCAATGCGTTAAATTAAATCAAATTTCTAACTTTTTCATTCATTCTAATAATAACCTTTCCTAACAAAAGTTTTTTTATAATTATAAATTAATTTTTTAATTAATTTATAAAAGTTTAAAAGTGTAGTAATTCTTCACCTGCAGGTTGCATTTTGGAAAGTTCTTCAAAACAAGAATTGCATAATTCATGCTTGCAATTTCCTACAGGATTTGAGTCGTAAAATGATAATTTCCTGCAAAAACAAAGGTTTTTATTAGAAAATAATATTCCTTTTCTTTTATCCCTTCTAATTTGAATTTTCAAACTTAATTCTAAAACTTTTGTTTTAAAATTTCATTAACATTGAAAGTAAGGCTCACTTTGATTCATATTTATTTCCATATATTCTTTTATTCACTCTTTAAATTTTATCAGTAGTATATGAAGTTCTTTAATAGATAAAAAATAAGCCTTAGAAATTTTGCTAATAAATTTAGATGAGAGTAACTATAAGAGCATTATCATTACCATTTTAATTATCAACAGGTAAACATTCCTTATGCTAAGTATTTCTATCATATTGAAATGAACTTATTTTGATCTCATATCACTAATGAACTGGAATTTTCAAAACAGAATTTCATCATCGACTTCCTTCATCATTTAAAATGACTCAATTAATTCATTAAAATTTTAACTTAACATTTACTAATTATTTTCAAAGGTAGTAAGTTTTCAGTTACCTTCCTAAATTCGTTGGAAAATTTTGAGTTAAATATAAAATTTACAAAAAATAAAAGCCAAAACGTTTCAAAATGATACTTTTAGAATTATTCTTCTTATTACAAAAATATATTCAAACTTGTATTTCTTAAACAGAAACTATGCCATAATTAATTTTATTTTTCTAAAGGTTATTTATGGAATGGTACCTGTCATATTAATATTTAATTAATTACTTTAATTGCCATACCTTATTATAACTCTTAACAACTATTATTATCTTCCTTTTTGATATCTTTTCGTATTTATCACTTTATTATTTAAACTAGCTTATTCTTTTGCAAATCTTAGCAAACCCAATGACCTTTCCAAGCGTTTCTCTCTTCTTCCACTATCAATCTTTGCAAACTTTCTAAATACTATCCTTTTCTATTACTCTCAATCTTTTCGACCTCTTCAATTACAGTTCTTTTCCTTTTGACCTCTCCAAATATTTCTTTCTCTTTTCTTTTATTCTCGATCTTTGCAAACTCTCCAAATGCTACTCTCTCTCTTTTCACTTTTAATCTTTGCATTTCAAATCTAATCAATTTTTCTCTTTCCCAACAAATATTATATTACTAAATTGCAGGTAATTATAGTTGTAAAAAACTGCAACATATTTATACGATGGGAATTTTGAAATGATATTAAACAAAAAACACTAATAATAGTTAAATTTATGCGACACACTAAGCGAACAAATTTATTAGCTTAAAAAACATCCGAAATTCAATTTACTTCGAAATTATCGTTAAATGTAAAATATAAATGAAAAATTTGCTTGCCTCGGACACATATCATTGTCACAGTTATTTAATGTGAGAGTTTCAGTACGAACGTTGGAAAAACAATGAAGCATTAGACATATCTAAATATCTATCAATTTTCATTCAAAACAATTCTTATAATATTTTCCAATTAGTAATTTAAATTTTAATAATTTCCTTTTATGTTATATGCAATTTAGGAATTCTATAAGATTTCAACAAACTATCGTATCATTTTTCTTCTTTCTAATTCATTAATTTTGTAAAATAAAATAAATTATTAATTATTATCTTAAAAAAAAAGAAAGAGAAATCTTTGTAATAGTAATTATGCAAAATCGAAAAGGTAAAGAAACCAACGAATTCTATGTATTTGTTTAGTTTTATCTTATTTAAAATTAAAATTTTCAATTTAATTATTTTGGTTTTCTTTTATTCTGAAAATGTTTTTTTCTTTTATTCTGAAAATGAAAATCTCAAATTTATTAGTAAACCAAATTTAACATAAAAATCACTTCGGTTTTTATTCTTCCTTAAATCTCAGACTATGAACTGTAAATTTTCCGTGCAAAAACTTTATTCCAAAATTGTTTGACTTTGATCATTTAGCCGAAAAAATGGAATGGAAGACGAATTTTGTAAAAAAATGTAAATTTGCCTTTAAAACATATCCTGAGCAAATTTTAGCATAACCTTATCTGTGCTTCTCTTATTGAGACACGTGGAACAAAATAGGTGTAAACAAGGTAAAAGTTGGCGCATTTCAGTGACCATTTGCCAACGTTCACAGATTGGACATCGCAGCATAACAGTGCCAACCGCATTCGACATTACTTTAAGTTGTCAATAGCATCAATTAAGCTTTTAAAGTTATATTTACGTATTCTATACTTTTATTTTTATACAAATTTAAGGAATGATTCTGATTTCAAAATATATCTTTCAAACGTTTTCTTTGATAAAGATTAAGTGGATAACGTTAAGGTATGCCTAAATCTGAATTTGGCACAATTTTATCAATTTCAATTTAGGACATCCGTTGGGCTGTAAAAATAACATGATTTTTACTTATCTTTATGAGCTTCTTTTTGAGAATCTTTTCACATTAGTATTTGTAAAAGTGAGCTTGACTAGTGAGGCCATATAAAGTTATATTTGAACGTTTTCGTTTTTCCTTGTTTTTTAGAAACCGAAATTTTAAAATAGATGGCATGCAGAGATAACCAATCTTGAGAAATAAAATAAATTATCAAGTTAATATGTCGGAACATTAACATCTTTGTGGGATTCTTATTTGCATGGCGAGCATGCCCGTCATACGCCACTCGCAACGCGTGATATTTGATGCGTGCTCTTTTTATCCCCCTCATTTCAGGGTCACGGGAATGTTATGTGGTTTTGCGGTAGTGGTTGGGTGGAGTTATGGGTGTTTTGGTAGAAATGTTATAGCTTACTTTGACATGTACTATGTCCGAGTTTTTCTGTAATACATTTGGAAAAGTGCCACATTTTTTTGCTGTGGTAAAGACAGGTGCAGTGTATTATCTTTCTTATAATGCATCGGTGAAATGTGCTTGCGGAATATATTTTTATTAAAAATAGGTTTTATCCAGTGATTCAGATTAAAAGCAAAATGCTTTGGGATAGAAGATCGGAATAAAATTGATTCTCTAATGGTTAAAAATTGGAAAGAGGAAAAATAGTATGGTAATTTAGGAAAGAGCGAAGTTCCAAAGCGTTTGTTGCATTAAGATGCAGTGACTGAAAGTAGGAAAGAGCGAAATAGGTAAATTAAGAAAATCTAGCTTATGATCATGTTTGATCAGTACTATAAATTACGGCAGGTATTGTTTGGATAGTTTGAGAAAATATCAAGATAATAACGGTTGATGATTGCAACAGTAATTGAGGATCATTTTTTATCGACATCAAAATATCATATCGCACTAATTTTTTTCAAATCTGTTCGTTGTGGATAATTTTTTTAATTGTTTGTAATTTATCTATGGAAGCTTTCAAAATTTTGGTTTAGTTTTTCAGACTTTACTTTAATATTTCAACTGGTTGATAAAGATCTGTTGTTTGGAATTAATTCAAATCGCATTATAAGTAGTGCATACATATTTGAGAGCGCTGGAAACTTTTTTCCTCCCTGTCTCATTCTTTTACTTCTATCAACGAAGCTCGCTTAACAACTTAATAATAATTCACCAAATAATTTTTAAATCATTCAACTGCTTTTTTAAGACAGACAGATTTGGTAATAGCCCATGAGGTAATAGTTTTTTATCAGTTTTTTAAAAAAATGAAATTTAATTTATTGTTAAGACTTTTTGCAGTTGATTTCGTTAAAATGGAAGCTTGAATATTCCCAGGAATTTTTCAATAGTTTTATATGATTTGCCTGACTGTCTGCTGGTTCTTTGAATTGCGTCATGTTTAGTATTAATGAAAATTTGTTAGCTAATTTTTATTTACCTATTGCAGGATTTTGTAGAAAACAAATGATGTTCGACGATGGATGATTCGGCGTTCAAGGATATTGATGGTAGTTGCTTTGAAGGTTTGGATTTTATTTTTTATTCTGTCTAAATTTTTTTGGAATGGGAGTAGGATTTCTCAGGTTTTATGTTAATGTACCTATCTTATCCTAAACTTAGTTTTCAATTTTAATAGAATATTTGGTATTATCTACTAATTCTGGTCTTTTTGAAGTCTTTTTCTACAGTTAATATCAAAATTATTTAACGGCATTGCAACAAAAATTAAAATTGAAAAGCTTTTTCATTAATCTTTTTTGGAAGCAGTTGAAAATACTTCATAATTGGAGAAAATTCTATAAAACCTGAGTAGTTTCCGTAAACCACTGTAGCAGTAGTTGTAGTTGTGATAACATCGTAGACTTTGCTTTTTGGAAACTATAAATTAAATCTTTTCGCATAGTCTAATTGGCCGATAGTTTACACCTTCTAACTTTAGCCAAGGCAGCATACAACCGATGATGTCTTCCGCTTATTTCCGTTTATTTGAAGCTTTCGGAAATATATTTCGTCGCTGTCACATACCAACATTATTTAAACACTTAGAATTTTTACATGGCGACAAATTATTGAGATGTAAAGCCTGCAAATTCTTGGCAGGAGATAATTGATGTTGTGTAAAAAATGAAATTGTTGGGTCATATCACACATGCTCGTTTTATTCCACATCAGATATATCTCATCTGTACTATTTCAGCGTGTCATGAGTATGCAGCGAATAAGCAGTGTTATAAGTATGACTAATGTGGGCAAATTCAACGACTATAAAAATGTCCGATAAAAACTCTTATATCATGTAACTCAGATAGTTTTAAGATTTAGTAGTTTAATCAACGGAATTAGTCAATGATATGAAACAGTTTCGACTACTATGCAATCTGCTGAATTATGAAGTTTCGACTGTACCATAAAGTAACCAAATAGCATGGTAAATCATTTTGTTTGATCATTTTTTGGAATTTTTGAGCAAAAAATGACCTTCAGTGTTGTGTAAGATTTAAAATAAATTAGTTATTGTGTTGCTTGCCCGCGTTTTCCGTTGAACCCTCACCTTTTCTTTTTTTTTGTAAAATTGAGGTCAGCTGTGCAAATCCAACCGTTCTTTTACATTTTCTTTTCTCTGTTCATTAAAATTGTTTGAAAATTTCCACTTCTTTCTGTTTCTGCAATTTTCCAAATTTGAAGCGAAAATTGATTGAGAGAAAATCCATAGCATTAATATAGGGCAAAGGAAATTAAAGTCAAACAAACTAGCTAACTGGTTAAATGGTTTAAGCGTTGTTCCAATTTTTTCCGTTTATCCGCAAATAAATGACTAAAATTGCGTTTAATTTTCCAAATTTGAAATCCTAGTAGAAATGACGTGCGGATAAGTTATGCCGCATATGAATAGCAAACAAGGAATGGGAAAGACGTTGCATTTAATATCTTATGTTTAATTTTGGTGTAGTTCTGACAGTTTTGGCTAACTTGAATGTTTGGAGCAGTACTGATATTCTGATTATCGAAATTATGCGAAGGATGAAGGAAGTAGGAAAGGATGACATATTCATTTAGGCATAATCTTCATATCCAAAATGACAAATTCGTAACTCACGATGTTTCGCTTTTCGGAGTATCAACATCTTAGAAAATATAGTTAGATTTAAGACGAGAAGATGGTAAGGAGAAGAAAGCACTCAGATTCGTTGGCGAATGCCCTTGGAGATTTACGTAGACTGTTGATAAATTTGGGCGTCACCAATTTCAACGTTCTAAACGTTTCATTTCTTTTACTTCTTTACATATTTGATAATTCTTTATGACGGGTAGTACTTCCTCTTATGGTCTGATGAGAATTCTGTTATCTGTTGATTTGTCAATCAGTCATTTTCTCGATTTATCAGCATATATACATACATAACGAAGTAAGAAAACAAATAATCAACATTGATAGGCAATTCTAAAAGTAGGCGAGGATTATGGGTTGAAATTGTGGAATTGAAAAAGCTTAACAATATGCATAGCGCGTAATATTTATTACTCAAGTATAGTAAAGTAGATAGAGATATATACATATTGTGTGTTATGTATATGTATGTGCCTTTGAGCTTGTTGCATATGTATGTGTGTGTGCGTTTGTGTGAGTGAGAGCTTTAGTGTGTTAATCGAGAAGTGTACGTATGTATTATTGGTAGGGTATTGGCGACAAGATCACAGGCTGGTACGGCGAAAAGGGACGAGACCTCCAAATCGTAGCATTAGTAAAAGAAAGAAGAGGAGAGTGATGTGGGATGAAATAGCAAAATCGACTTTTCTCGACGACGTTCTGAATTACACCGGCACCAGCCCCTACTGCTTAGCACCAGCAATCACCGTTGATCTTCCCCTCTTCGAAGATAGATGGACAATTCCGCATACGAACGGACAGTCAGACACATATATACAGCCATACACTTACACGAATTTCGCTTTGGGTATTACTACGAACTACAGCTACAGGCTATTACGGATCAACTAACTGACCAGAAACCTTCTAGGATACATCGAAATTTCAAGTAACCGTGAAATCGTCAAGATATTAGCAAATCTCCAACTAAACTCACTGGAAATTTTCCCAAGATATTACAGAGAGCGATTGTCGAATCGGTTATATCTAAGTGTGTGCTATTTTAGAATAATTTCCAAGGGATACGGTTAAATTGAGAAGGATACGATTGAATCCATTGCTGTGTTAAAAGTGATTTTATCCAATTTGTGATATACCGGAAACCAGGTTATCTATCCACTAAGTATTCAAAATAGCAGCTCTTGAACTACTGCAGGTATTACTACGTTGGCAACAAAAAGAGAGAGGAAAAAGTAAAGAAAAGGAGGAACCAATAAGAAACCTATTATCGTTTACGATCACAACCGCCACTGTCATCATCATTCGTCACCGATCAACACGAATCATCACCGTCATTGATAGCTATTGCTTCTATTTATACGACATCACTGACGATACACCAAATCCATTCCTGCACTATCATCCTACTACTCGTACCACTATCACAATCACCACCATTGCCACCGACAGATTTCCTTGTAACTGACAACGACTATCACTATTGCTACCATTGCTACTACTGTCATTACAACTGGTAACAAACTGAAAAACTTTCTAAATTGATCCTATCTAATTGTCGGCCTTTCTTATCATTGCGAGTCGATGTCGTTCTACTATTTCCCATGAAATATTATTCCCAGTGATAACAACAACAACAACAATTATAATAGCAACAACGACAACAACTGCATGGCTAAAAGGCGGACAGTTTATTTAAAAGGTGGACATTGATTGGTTGACTGATTAATCAGTGGATTAGATCGATTAACTTGAATGACACTAATCATTTTATGTCTTAAGAAAACAAGTATCTCATGTAGGGATAAGAGGCGGGTAATTTTTTTATTTTTCCTTAATTGGGTGGGTTAGTTGAAAGAATGGAGTAGGGGAGAAAGTAGTGGTTTATCATCGCACAGTTTTTTTCTCTTTTTTGTTTTTCTAGCTAATTCCCCCATGCCCACTTCATCATCGTGTGTTTGTTGGTTATTCAACTCTATTGTGACTGTTAATAAAAGAAAAGTGGTTTCGCATAGTAAATGTATGATTCTCAATTAAAAACACAATTGATTCTGAAGTCTTGTGCACTTCATTTGGCTTTTTGCACTGATAACTGATTTGACATGGTTGGAAGTGCAGGAAGATCCTTGGGAAGCCAAATCAACAATATTTATGAGTGTGATGTGGTGCTCGAAATTATTGTGATATGCCCAAAAAGTTAAGTAAAACACTGTTCGGGTGATATTAAATTTAATGGCTGGAATCAGTTTGGTAGAAAAGATTGTTTTCGTAAAGCATTCTGAAATATTTGAAATTTTCGATGTTTTTGGAAGTTTCCAGTTATCAGTGCCTGAAGCAATGTAAAAAAAATCCAATTTTCCTGAAAATATAGAGAGATTTGGACCAATATTCACTTTTATATCATATGTTCCCCTGGTCTTTTGTCTTTTTTCATCTTGTTTCAGCTACGGATCTCTCGGATCATTCAATCATTCGATACATCTGTGTCGATCGAACAATGTGATATATCTGGGCGGAAGACTCATAACTTCTAATTTTGATCGAAAAGAGATTTTTTTCTTTTTATGAACACTAACAAAAAAATTGAATGAATTAGTCGTAAACCCGTGTGAATGGAGAGATGACCCAGTTTATTCAATGACCATCGTCCTAACCGAATCCTTCATATTTTTTTCTATTTTTGTGATACTTAGAGTCGAAGAAGAACATCGCCATGGAAGAATATTGAGCACATCTTCTCCTGGTCGATTTATTTCGAAAATTTTATCAAAATTAGGTGTGGAAGGGGAAGGTGAGATAGAGATTGATTTTAAGCGAAACCGAAGATTGGATAAACCAATCACTGAGAATAATCATGGATTGCGAGAGTGTCAACTAGTGCATCCTGAAAATTCTAAAAATTTCATTTTTCTGAGGATATTTTATACTGCTGTCCTTCGATAACGCAGCTTACAAGTGGATATGGTTCAACATATGATTTGATAGGGAATGAGATTGATTACCAGGAAAAGATATAGGAGTTGATTTTTTTAAGAAGTGAAGTTTGATTTGAGTAAACGTGGAGGAGAAAACGCATCATATTTTTTCAACAAGCCGTATTTTCAACTTTAGAAAAACAAATTGATGTTTTATCTGTTTGTCTATGTAAAACTATATATTTTAACTTAGATTATCTACCAAAAATTCCATCGTTGCAATAAGCTGTAATTTTTTTAGAAGTAGTTAGCGAAGACTTGATTGGAACATTAGAAGGAGTATTTGCGGGATTGATGATCCACAGTAACCTATCTACATAGGTTGAATACCGAAATCATCGTGTGTTTTTCATAACGTTATGTAAACATATAGCAGTTACACGTCCGTGAGAAGAAACAAAACATGATGTATTATAGATTAGATATCGGAACTGCAATTGTATTTTCATCTGTATGAAATCACGCATTCGCAAGAGGAAGTAAAAAAATGAGTTGTCAAGTTAATGTGTTGCTGATAAGTAAGTATACTGAGGGAAGAAGAAAGAGGTATTCGTAAGGTACGAACCATTGTTCGAATTAGAAACAGAAAAGAATTAAACATTCGTTAAGTGCAACGACTTTTCGAAGTATGAGAAGCGGACATTATTCAATTTTTGTGAGGATTTCAAAAAACTAGAATTTTTTTCTGCACCGAGACTTACTATGTTAGTTATGTCATTTATTGTTATGAATGGCATATATCACGATTTTTGAGAGTGTATTTACTGAGTATTTTAGTTGTATGCATATGTATATGAATGCCGGTGACAAGCATATGAGATATTTTGTTAGATGTATATGTGTGTATATATGTATAACATGCATGACAGAATGCAAAGCAAACTAAATTTATCCGTATTGCATTAGTTTCAGACCAAACAAGAGAATAGAAAAGGGATTTCTTTTTTTTGGAGTTTTTTAAAGTTGTTACAGCCTGGCACCAGAACGTCACATTTAAGCATAGGGCAAGGAAGGACAGAAAGCAGAGCTAGTTTTGTTTTTCATTTTTGTACTGGTCCACTATCATTACTTTCCTCCTTTTCATCCATCTTTTTCCTGTTATATCTTAATTCCAGAGAGGAGCTAAAGATATATGAAATTTTGAAAAGGACAGACTAGAAGAGAGCGGGAGCAAGAACATAAGAATAAGTTCATCTTTCTTAATGCATTAGAAATTTACTTGTATAATAAATCAATCATTATTTAATGTCATTATATTCTCTACACTACAACAACCCATGTTTTACTTTGTTTTTGGTTTATATTCTAGGCTATATTAATAAATTCTTTCGACGTAAGAGTGTAATTAATTACAAATTACCTTTTTTCTCTTTTTTAAAACAAATATTTTTTGAAATTAATGGAACGACCAAGGAAAAAAAGATTAATTCATAGTATTTTTGCAATATACAGTAAAAGTAATAGGTCATGTCCGGATCTCTTCTTTATTTTAATAAGAGCTGGATTTATGGGAATTATTATGAGTTATGATAAGTAGAAGTCGAGTAGGAAAAAATTTTTAAAGTAATTTCAAAAGTCATTAAAGTTGGGTAGTATTCAGACCACTGGATTATCTAAAATTATCGTTCAGAAATTCGGAACTTAACTGTTTCCGGCTTGTAATCAGATCATTATCATAAAATATGCTGTGATGAATGATCGTATAGTTTTGGTTGTGATGCTGCAGTGGTTGATATCGGTTGTTCTTGAAAGTGTAAATCCAAGTGAAGGAAAGTATTGCAACATTTTTCTTTCTTATCTCATATTTGCTATCCTCTATTTTTTTGCAGAGGATACGGCGTTTAATGATCCATTGAGCGATTACACGGGTGATTTCGATATTGTACGATTTTTGGACGAGAACAGGTGATCGCTTTGTTTTATTTCGCTTCTATGGCATTTATCTTAATTTCTTAACCGTTGGATATTGTTGAATGTATTACAGTCTCAAACTCTCACAGTCTCTTTAATCTTCCTCATTTTGTTTCATTTAGTCTTCCTTCTTCGATTTTTTCTTGATTACCCTTCAAAAAGATGTTAAAAAAATAAGGGATAAGAGTAGCAAATCAAGACAGGAAATAAACGATAGACAAAAACAAAAATTATGAAATTCCTAAGCTCGGGACCCATGAGTTTTGTTTCGATCACATGCATGTAATAAGTCTGACTTGATGCTGTGAACTAGAAAGTATGTGAATAGTGGATTGGAAAAGTATAATAATCGAGAAAAATATAATTCGATGAAAACTTGGGACTTAAGGAAAAAAATGATTGAAAGGGAACTTTTTTTAACTTTTACAGATAATAGAATAGTTCCAATGTTAGCTTTTAAATTGTTTAAAATATTTTTTTTTTGTTCGTTCATTCATCCATTCGGAAAAAGCTTTACGGTAGAAATTTCATACCTTCATGAAGTGTGTGTTAATATCTATAGAGGAGTTTGTAGGTGCAGCGTGCAATGATCGGTGTAATACCATAAGTAGCACGGACGATCAGAAAAAAATTTTTGGAAGCCGTTTCGTTATATTAATGATCTTTCACATTTTTATTAATGATTTCTCACATTCTTTTGCGATGGAATATTTCTTTGGAACTTGAAAAATTCGTAGACCAGAAATAATAAGTATCCATATCCTCTCTTCTCGATTTAAATGGTCTTTAGTATACCTATTTTAACGAAGTTCAAAAAAATCTTTTTGGAATCATAAAAGTTCATTAATTGGCGTACTTAAGTAATTTTCTAATTTCAATTTTGAAGTGTGCTTGCATATGCTTCTTTTAATTCGAATCACTTGTACAACTGTCTTTTCCATCTGTCATTGTTACCATCATCATAAGGATCAAAAAGGACTGTAGTTTTGCAGTACCCCGATTGATAGCCCTGTGGCAGACACTACTCGGTTCATCTCGCAACAGGTACAAGGTCATCATCATCACCATCACCACCATCAGCAACAACAACAACAACAATCGCAGCAACATCATTATCAACAGCAACAACAGCAGCAGCATCACGCATCACTACCGCAATCGCTTCAAAATATCACCACTGTTGCTATTTCTGAAGCGGCCAATAAAATGATGTATCAGAATCCAGCTAGGTAAGATGTTGCTTTGTGATCGAGTAATGGATATCTGTGTGTGATTTCTCCGTTAAATAATAATGGAATTTTTAAAACGAACTATGGCTTTCAAGTTGCCACGTAAATTTTTAGCATAAATTTTGCTTTAATCAAATTATTTGTAGCTATGTTCACTACGTGGTTGCAAATAAAAATGATCAGATATAGGTCCGTCGGACGAAGATCAAATTCCTCTGTATAGCGAGACGGGCAAAGGAGCAGTATACCAGTGGCTTTTGTCATAGATTTGTCGAAGTTCAAAATGACTCTAACCCTTTACTTTAGAAATGAAATTTGACAGAAGAAGCACTGATAATCTAAAAAGTGTTTCATGTTGAAGCTTTTGGTATAAGGTTTGAAGGCTAAGATTATAATTTCAATAGCACCCAAATGATAGTAGTGATGGTGTAATGGTGCTGATGTTGGTCGCAAACTATATCAAAAAACACAGTAGTTGCAAAACGTTGATGCTGGTAAGCGAGAGATAAGAGCAAAAGAGGGAGAATTTTTCTATGGGAGATTTGAAGCGGTTTGATTTGGTTACTGTATTCGAATCTTTAATTTCAACTGATGGAGACTTTTTCTGGATTTCATAAAATTTTTAAGAGAAAATGGGCAAAAAGAGTAAGATTTTTTCAAAATTACAAGTTTCATTCATTTTCATCAGATTCATTCAGTAATGCTATCAATGAAAATGTAAATGAAGGAATAGTGAAAAGATAGGAAGAGACTAGAAAATGTTTCGAAAAATTAATTATTCCATTTGCATCCCATTCTGCAGAAATCTAAAAAAGAATTAAGCGAAAGATAAGGTGAAATGGAAAAGGAGAAAAGAGAAAGGACTACATAATAAAGCTCTATGATAGGGTTGATTTAGTAAATTCGCTGGGGAAGTACTACCGTATCTTTTTTTCTTTTTTCTATCGCACTTCAAGTTTTAAAGTTTTTTAAGCATATTGCTAACTGTTTCATTTGAAATGTTTCAAAGTGACGAGCCAAATCGGCGTAACAACTGTTTCATTCATTTATTCATCCATTCATCAATGACCATTCTCGTCATACTCCTACTCCTGCACTTTTTTCGGAAGAAGAGGAGGAATGGTTCCTGGCACTGACCGAAATCATCTCCGTCCATTTTGTTATTTACTTGTTTATTTCGATTAATTCATTGATAACTTATCTATATTATTGAGCTAGATGGTCTTTTAAATTTAATTTTTTTACCGAAATTAATCATTTATAAATGTGGATTTCAACTCCCAGATACTTCACTTGTTGAAATAATTTGAGCCGTAAATTAAAGTTTTATATTAAAATGAGCATTTACATGAAACAGATGGAAAAAGTTCTTATTTACTAGTTCATATTTTTACATTTTTTTACCTAATGTTTAGTGATTGAACTTACTGAATTAAGAAATAAATCAGGTAGTTTAATTTCATTCAGATAATTTATGAAGTAAATTTGGTCTATAAGAAATCGTTGGTTTAGACTGGATAAGTTAACCAAATTTTTTGTCCAAATTAAATAAATAAATCTTCTACCGAAGATTTAAACTTAAGTCTTTATACTTTTAATAGCCTTTGTCCATTTGTTGATTTCATTTATTATTCTTAAGCACTATTTTTCCTATTTCAGGCTACCTGACAGTCCACCAATCACGGATATCTCGGGCGCCGGTTCATCAGGCTCACCGAGCTCTGCTTCAGATTCTCCGTATTCGCCAGATAATTACCAGAATTATCAGCGTAAGATTGTTATTGTCAAGTTTTCATGCACTTTTGCTTTTTTTTTATTTGGTCTGAATTTTCAACTTAAAAAATCAATATAGGTGATTATTTAGAGAATTTAAATGTTTCCAACAAACCGGTGAAATTTTGTTAAACTTCAATTTCTCGAATGTCATGACTTTTATGAGAGTGTGTCAGTCCCTTATAAAAGATTATAATTTCATCACTCTTATCCAGTTGAATTAAGTTATGCTGATAACTCCAGCGAGCTAAAGTCGAATAGTATTGCATTCAGGACCTCGCTGGAGCTTGCGAAGTATAATCGGTTAGCTAGCACTGATTATAATCTTTTATGAGGCATATCAAGGCCAAACTGATATTAGTAAATATACGTAACACTCTCGTCTTGGTTGGAAAGTAACATTTCGGATATGACGGAAGATAAATTGTCAGAAAACGCGGTGAAACGATAAAGATCCGACCAAAGCAAATTTTTCTATAATGAAAAAATTACCATCACGATTTTTGAAAAAGTTGTTATAAATAAATGGTGACAATTTTCTAAAACGTAAAATGAATGAAATGACCTTCTTTCGTTCACTTCACCTCTTTCACTAGTTCAAATATAAAATGACCTTTTTCCTCTTCCATTACTCAAGAATTACAAGACAACTTTCATAAAGAAGAGAAGAATTTTTTCTGTGAAATATATTTATATACCTACATTAAAATGCTTAAATATGGAAAAAATATATGAATGCTATATATATATATATATATATTCTACAATGTATTTGCTCTTATACTCTCATTCATTCACATTTTCCGTAAAGAGAGCCTGATCTGTGGATCTGATAAAAATTTTTTTCAGAATTAACTGATTTTGTAATTTATATTTAATGGAAAAATCGAAGCATTTTTTGGAATAAATTTATCTTATACATACTTTTATAATCTCGTAAATTTAAACATGTAATTTGAAGAAAAATTGTAATTGTAGTATAGGATTTGTATAGTCTATTTTGAAAATTTCGTTACATTATTGTTTTACGAATGTGCGGCAGTTGTTCAGATTGCTTATTTTGTTGTCCTGAAACAGTTCATCTCTCTAGAATACTGTAAAGCTTAAAAATGATAAAAATAATATTACAGTTATTCATGGCAGTCAGCATAACGGCAATGGTTTAATTCTTGGTATTCGACCTGATTTAGCGACACATATGTTGGTACCACAAGAGCTTCTGCAGCAGAATCATCTCGGTGACCGTATATTGCAGCATGTTTTGCCATCACCACAATCCGATTTCATTGCTAATGGTGGTGGATATCCACCACAGTCAACACCTTCCGCACTACCTCAGGTTCAGTTTTTAATTTGGTCTGAAATATAAAGGAGAAGAATTGAAAATATCGAACTTTACGAGACCTTATGCGATTTATAAATTTCAAATTCCCCAAAATCTTACAGGTTTCACCGCCAACGGTCAATATGAGGCCGGTTAATAGTGGTTATTTGGTCCAGAATAATGACTATCAAATGGATCCCTATAGTAATGTGATCAATACCGCAACTAATGATGGTGATGGTTCAAGCTCCCAGAGTGATGGCCAAATAAGCCGTAAACGTGTGCGATCGGACCAGCAGCCACCACCACCACCACCGCAACAACAACAACAACAACAACAACAGCAGCAGCAGCAACAACAACAACAACAACAACAACAACAACAGCAGCAACATAATCCAGTATCAACTAATGTTAAAAGTGAGCCGCAGAAGGTAGATTTGTTATTTAATTCTTTAGCATATTGTATAGGTTTAAAGAAAACTGGGTTAAAACGGTTCTCTAACTTTTATTGCTTAATTTTTGGAAATTTCGCGGAGATTCATATCTATAATTGGTTGCTGCAAACTTATTTTATGAAGAGAAGACTTTTCATTTTTAAACTTATATTGAGATAGGTTGGAAATAATGCAGTGATTAAGTAGTTACCCATCTATTTATGTAAAACATATGCAGAAGTTCAATTCATGTCGCGCTTATCACCATTCCCTTATCATATAATATAATGCAGTTATAATAACAATATCGTGCTAAGTTAGAGCTCATTACTCATTGTTTTGATTTTTTTCTTGCTCTCCCAAATCTCCAAGTAGGGAAGATTGAATTATATGTTTATAGAGACCTCACAATTCCATTTTCATTTAATATTTAAAATTTTTATTGTAAATTGGAAAGTCCTTAAATATATATTCATGATAATTACAAAACCAGTTATTCCTATATTTGTTTCCAGGTATTTTCGTTACCCAGTCAGCTTACAGTGATTTCATCACCTGTAACTACATTAGAAGATTTTGACGACAGTTTCCACCAGCAAGCAATCAAATTTACTGCATTCAACGAGGAACATTGGGCTACCTTGTACGATATCAACCAAAGACCATTACATCAATTGGAAATGCATGTTGTAGCGGATAAAGGATTCAATTACAGTACTATGGATAACTGCTTTGTAAATCAGAAAAAAAATCATTTTCAGGTTTGAACTTTACGATATTGTTCACTTTGCTATAATAACGAAAAAGTTTCCGTTATTTACTGAATATTCAAAGGTTGCATTGTACAAGAAATTTTAATGCAGTCTTTTTTTACTTGTGGGAAGGGATTTTCTGTTTGTTATTTTTTATTCATTTGATATTCACATGGTTTCCCTTGTATTTTATTTAACTTTCGCTTTTTTAGCAATTGCTGGATATATCACTATCACTTTACACTAGATTTTCCTATTTGTTCATTAGATTATTAGATTTTCCTGTTTGTCACCGACATTCTTTTCACAGTTCACTGCATGTTTTTACATGTCTCTTTTTCCGTGTTAACCACATGGCTGTAGTTTATAGGGTCACGGAAGTTTTTAATTCGGATAACTAATTATACAGCTGCATTCTTAAAAGTTTTCGGATAATTCAATAGTGCTATGGGAAAAATGAATATACTTTTTCCAGATTTCTGTGCACATCGAAGCAATTGACAATCATCCACCAAATTTCGTTAAAATAGGTAACGAATTGAAAATGGTGAAAGAATTTAAGCTAGCATTTTGTGGTGTAAAAAGTGAAATGCCAACATCAGAGATACAAATCAAACAGTCTACAACGGATAGGAGACCAGTACCACATGATCCTGTATCGTAAGTTTTCTTTTTCCTATACAAAACAATAACGAAATCGAGGCAGCTATTCATATCACGCGATTATATCGGTTGGAGAATAAAAGCCTTTTAAATTACTTGAATTTTTGACATTTTTTTTTTTTTGACACCCGAACAATTACTTGAATTTTTGACATTTTTTCTTTATGTTCTGTATGGTCTCATGATGTAATTTCAAGTACCAAGATTTCAAATTTGTCCAACATCTGACTCAAATTCTATCTTTTAGGCTTGAAATTCATGAACGACGGATGACAAAAGTAACCGTACCGAGGCTGCATTTCTCCGAAACAACGATGAATAATCAGCGAAAGAACGGTCGGCCAAATCCGGATCAAAAATACTTCCTGCTTGTTGTTCGTTTGATTGCATGCACTGCTGATGGGCATGATGCCACTGTTCAGGCTTATCAATCTGAGAAAGTAATTGTTCGGGTAAGCTTTGTACTATCTCAGAAAATTTAAATATTGATTTTTTTCTTAATGGGGATAAATCACAAAGAAATATTAATAGCCAAAAGGTGAAGATGACTGTGGAATATTGATAGCCATTGAGAGAATCACGGTAAGGAAGGAAATCGGTGATTGAAAACTTTTTACTATGAACGTATAGAAATAATCGATAAGATTTTATGATTGATTTGGTAACGATTAATTTATGATTGTACTGTTTTATTGCAGGCTTCAAACCCAGGTCAGTTTGAGCCACCAGATTCGGATGCTACATGGCAGAAGAATGGTTCCACTTTATATTATAATAGTGGTTCAGTGGCAATTGGTACTGATCGAGCTGTTGCACCCTTGACTGTCGGTGGTGACATCTATTGCTCTGGAGTTGTTCATCGTCCATCCGATCGTCGGATGAAAGAACAAATTCATGAGGTTCATTTGATCCTTTTTTT